GGACTGAGCGCCGAGAAAATGACCGGACCTGGTTTGGCAAAAAAAACCTGGGAGGGGGTCGTATAGAATTTTGAACTCCTTCAAAAAGAAAATAAACAGGAAAAGGCTGTGGGAGGCTGGAAACAACTGGGAGGGGGTCTGGGAAGTCTTGGGAGGGTCTTGGAGGCCGAGGACTAGGACTGGGCGGCTAGGGGATAGGCCGACCGGCAAGATTAGGGGCCCGGCTTGGCGTTGAGAATTTCGGACGAAATTGAACTCCCTTAAAAAGAAAAATAAACAGGTGTATTGAATTCCCTTACAAAGAAAAATGAACAGGAAAAGGCTGTGGGAGGCTGGAAAGAGGCCCTGGGACTAGGACTGAGCGCCTAGGGGATAGCCGGACCGGCAAAAATTCGGGGCCCGGTTTGGCTTGGAGGCTGACTGAATGGCTAAAGCATAGGCTAGGTCTGAAAACTTTTTGAGGGCGGACAGGGCTTCACATGGCGCCTCGCCCAGCATGGGGTCGGCGGATAAGGGGAAGAGAGGGAGATCCCTACTGTCAATTAAATGCTGTTTTCAGAAAGATAAACTCCAAAATGCCACGTGAAAAAAACATTCCCAGGACATGAAGGAGGTCGCCAATTGCAATAATGGTCCATACACATGCCTCACTACTTTGCGCACATTCCAAAATAAAGAGCAATCTAAAACGATACATTCTCAAACAACCAAGGATATCAGTGGTCTTTTTTGGTCACTCATTATAATCCTGAGCCCCCTCATAATTCAATATTGGGCTGGGTTGGTTTGGCCCCTTTCAAAAGTAATCTCCCCCTTGTGAGAGTAATCTTCCAGGATTGCAGGCCTCTGAATTCAGATTGGAGGGCTTTTAATATTTGGGTAAAGCTGCCTGGAGGGCTCCTCTGAAATGTTCATGATAAGTTTCATTCATAGAATCCCTCCCACAAGGATCTCCATCATAAGCCTTTTGCAACACAATTCAAAATAAGGATCACTGTGCACTCTGGCGCAGCAAACGTGTTAAATTTTGCCCGCAAACCATTTATCGGGAAAAGTGGTAAGGGGTTCTCATTAGGGATTCCTAGTCTATCTTGATTAGGAATGCATAGTAAGCACTTGGTGTGGGAAAAGAAGAACTGATCCTTGCTAGTAACTTCGTCATGTATGCATTTAGGGATCCTAGTTCTGAGGTTTTTGCGAGAAAGAAAGCCTATTTCAGATCCTCATTTATTTGTGTTTCATATCCTCAGGGGATGGTGCCACACTCATTTCACATTACCTTTTCAGGAAAGTAGAAAAAAGTAGCCGTGGGTCGAACAAATGGATCTTACTGGGGAAGCATGTCTGTGGATGTATTCCTGAAGTCTCAAATATTCTCTGAATTATTGAAATTATGGGTTCACTTGGCAATTATCAAAAGGCTCGGCGCGTGTTTGGAGTTTGACTTGCGTATCTGAGTCGGCGAATGCACGGAGTAAATGAGATCCCAACAGCGAAGCAAGAGACACAACAAGATAGCGCGCATCGGCAAGTTGGCGCATTAGAAGCCTAGCGGTCTAGCGGTAAGGGAAGTCCAGTCGCTCGAGCAAAAGCACGAGCGCTCAATGCGAGAATCAAGTAACCTCTCGTTACAGCTGAGGCTACCGTGCGGTCCCCCTCCCATGCAAGACCGGCGAAAACCTGGGGTTTGCATGAGTGTAGACCAAGACCACCAAGTGACCGTGTGTTGTACAACATTCTTCCAAAGTAATTATTAAACCACAAAAAGTGTATATTGCACGTATACATATGTATATATATATATACATAGATTTATGAGTCAGAGGCGAAATAAGACCTTAAGGTCCGAGCCACACATGTATATGTAAATAATAAATAAATAAATAAATATATATATATATATCTCATAGTTATATGAACATTCAGTTTGAAAGGTGCCAAAGGAGGCAAACTAGCAAAAGGCGTAATCAAAGCAAAGCACGTCGTGGGGCCGCTGGCCATTGGCAAGGATGTTTTTGCCCTGGAGTCTGAAGTGGCCACTGCATTTTGTTAGGCAAGTCCAGAGAACAAACAATAGCAAGGTCTCGCTCAAGGAAGCCAACGGATGTGGAAGCGTGCTGGTCCGAAAGACACCCTCGCAGGCGGAAGGGAGTCTCTGCATAGGAGGGCCTTCGACACATGATAACAGATCAATGGTAGAGCAGAGGACGCAGTACACAGGCCACGCTAACGTCAAGTGCCTGTTACACCACAGCTAAAGCACACTAGCGTCAAGTGCCAGTCACTGGAAATGATGACTAGTTGTTTGCTAGGCGTGCAGTGGCTTTGGCAACTAGTCCCATTTTCAATCTTGGGTGTCTGCTACAGGCAAGATCAGATGTCGCTGATGGTGTTGAAATCTGAATGCCAGAGCGGAAGTCAAGGTTGCACAGCCTGGCCCCGCGGTAGAGTAACTACGCGCAATCCTGAATTCTGAGACAGCTGGCACCCAGCAAGATTCTGCAAGTACTTCAGGCATGCCCTCCGCGTTGCCTGAACTTCTGTCAAGGAGGAAGGCAAGAACGCTCTGGGCTACTGGGATGATGGCACGAAGGTCAAGGACGGACGGGGGGTTTGGTGCCGGAGCTTGCACTGCTTGGCTGGAGTTGCAAGTAGGCCCAAGACAAAATTCTCCTTAGTGTCGGGCTTGGAGAGCGCACAGGTTCTCAACCACTGGATCGAGTGCACGTGGGAAGGCCCAGGGCCATCAAAACGCGGAATCGTGCAGGTTGGAGAAGCATGGTTAAGGTGAGACGCTGCCAAGACTTGAGCTGTATCACCGGGCGAGGCAACTTGTGTACCAGACAACGACATTACCTTGCGCGGGCCTGATGAGGATTGTGAACCAGTTGCCTAGACACTCGGTGACGCAGTCCTTTTGCCCCGCGCAGGATTGCAAAGCGCTGCTGGAGCGCTTTGAAGAAAAACTTGGCTTCAAAGTGGAGACGTTTCCGTTAGGTGGCATCTCCATGAACCCCTCCTCAGATCGCCCTGATTACAAACTCAGCATTCTTGTAATTGCCCGCGATAATTCTTAGAGGCCACGCAAGCCTTGCTTGAAGTGCTTTTGGTGAAGGCGGCGCCAAGCCAAAGGCAGCCGGCAAAGCAAAGGCCGGCTAGCATAACGTTTGTTGCAGCTGCTGAGTGATCAAGCTACCTACCATAGGGCTCCTGACTTCTTTAAGCACGTTGGCCCAAAGGACCGATCGCAAGCCACATCTGCTGGTGTAGGTAGATTGCTTTTTGACTGCCTGCTGGCTGACGACCTGAGTTTTGCGGCAAGCGCAGGGCAGTGCTGCAATGCTTGCAGGCTAAACCTAAAGCCAAAGGCAAAGCCAAAGCAAAGGCGGCTTGAAGCATGAGCGGCGTGATCTCACCCACTTCCTGTGCTTGTGGTTTGATGCATATCGCATGGAAGGGGACCCCAGCTGTTCGCGACTTGTACAGCTACCGCGGCGGTAAAACGACGTGGCAGCCACTGCATGCCCTGTCCAGTCCTACACTTTTGCAGCTCGCAAGAGTCACAAATCAAGCTCCTGCCATGGCGTAATGTGCTGTCCAATGGGTTGTCGCTGCGTTCCCTGCTTGGGGCTTAATTACGGTCTTTTATGCAGTGTTCATTCCCAGCGCTGAATTGAAGCTGGTGACACAGGCGACGGCAATGGTCAAGTCGTCGAGCCGATGCCGGACTGAAAAGTTTCCTCAGCATCATGAGAACGGGCAATAGTGATGGGGCGTGGGTAGGAATGGTAGGAGACCGTCAAGTCCGCAGGAATGGGGAGGCCCGTAATTGTAGCGATGCAACAGTGACAAGTGTGAAATGACATGCTGTTTTCTGGAGACCAGAATCTGGTGTTCGAGTCTCGTGACGCAGTAGCCTTCGCTAAAGGAGTCTTCCGTCTCCAGGGCAGAGACACGAACTTTTGCCCGGCAGGCCTCATCAAGCACAGTGCCTTTCAACGACAGTGGCGGCAAGCGTTGAGCAATCTCCTCCAAATGTGCATGCAGGCACTATCCTTATTTGCACTTGTACCCTGCTCGTGAAGCTGCAATGGAAAACAATTACTTATTTCGAGCATCCCCACCCTAAAGCCGTTATTGCACAAGAAATGTAATGTTTCCCCCCTCAACTGTCTTCCTTGCAGCACTGCAAAGCACTGCAAGAAAATGCAGTTTGGCACTGCAGGGGCAAATGCTGAGGTGTTCGGCATTGCAAGGGCTGGGCACAAAAAAAACATTGTGCTCAATAGAGATACTGTGGTTTTGGGCACTGCAGGGATACGTTGCCATGGGCACTGCAGGGATACTGTGGGTTTGGGCACTGCAGGGACAATCTGCTGTTGGGTGCTGCAGGAATACTCAGCTGGTGCTGTTGGTCACTGCAAGGATACGCTGCGGTTGGGGATACTCTGCAGTTGGGCACTGCAGGGATGCTCTGCTCTTGCGCGCTGCAGGGATGCTCTGTTTGAGCACTGCAGGGGTACTTGGTGGTTGGGCACTGCAGGGATACTTTGCGGTTGGGCACCGCAGAGATACTCTGCGGTTGGGCACCGCAGGGATATGTGCCATGCAGCGCTGCAGTCAAGCTCCGCGCGGAGGGCGAGCACAACATAGACTTTTAAAATCTGCGAGGGTTGGGAAACAAGCCAGCGAATGAGAACCCACTAGAAGAGGGTCTTCGAACTAGTTGGTGAACATTGAACATGTGAAGCTCATGCTTTTCATTCGCTTTGTTGATTTTCCGGATTTGTCTTTCGCTGAGAGCTTATGTGATTTTGTGGTAGGTTTCTAGATCTTGAGAGCAGATTGTAATCCACACGCTCCGCACCCCATGCCATGAAAGGCTTTCCAAGTCCCTTACCATTCATCACAACATGTTTGGAAAATCTAATGAACCCAATTCTGAGATAATTTTCGAACAGTGTTCATTGCGGCCTTGGTTTTCTGACCGGAAATTGATCTAATCCATCTACTTAATTTTCGTAACCCACTGGAGTACGAACTCTGGAACAAAAAGGCTTTCGTCCCAAAACCGATGATTTTCAGCGATAAGCAGTCGGCAAAGCACTCGGAAAAGCAGCCGGCAAAAGTTGGAGTCAACTGGATGCTAGTATGAGTAGCTAGCTGTCGCAATTCTTGGCAAGATTCGAGGTTTCAAGGGGAACAGCGGGATGAGTGCGTGGCATAGTCCCAAAGTTCTGTTCCTAGGTCGAGGGGTAAGTACGTGGCAAAATTCTGCAAAATTCTTTGTTCAGGGCACGATCCAGGAAACATCGTGCGTGACACTCGGATGACTGCTGTAGAGCCTGTTGGCTTACATCAGAAAGAATAAGCCCCTGTGGGCCAGTTGTCCCAGATTTTTGCCGGGCCTTTTGCCAAGAATCTCAAGAATCTGAAGGAAGCGTTCATACTCCAATGATTCTCCCAATGCCTTAGTAAAGCAAATAACGATTGCCAGATTAGATGGCCTGATCCCTGTGACTGTTGGCACTTTTGAGACGCAACGAGTTCTGCGTTTCGCAACCATGACCCCCCGATCCCTGAAATTGACGCTTTTGAGACGCGAAGACCCGAGACGAGTCCAAAAGTGACGACAGTTCTGCGTTTCGCAACCACGCCCCCCGGATCCCTGTGACTGTTGACACTTTTGAGACGCGAAGACCCGAGGCGAGTCCAACAGTGACGACAGTTCTGCGTTTCGCGACACCGACCCCCCCATCCCTGAAATTGACACTTTTGAGACGCGAAGACGCGAGACGAGTCCAAAAGTGACGACAGTTCTGCGTTTCGCAA